TAAATCATATGACTGGCTTAGAACAATCTCTGGTAAACTCACTGTTTGATAATATTAAAAACAGGAAACCAACCTATAAAAATCTTTCATTTATATCATAAATTGACTGAAAATAGTTAATTAAAATGTCGCTAAAATTCTCTAATATCAATGAGTAGTATGTGTATAAATATACTCAATATATAATATTGTATGCTCATCAGTTAAATAATAGACCACATATTCAAATGATTGATTTCCTGAGCGATACAGATCAGATTCATACATGAATTTCATCTGTAATTTTGTTTACTCTATAAGGATTGTCATCAATTAAAAAAATATTTTCTATATTTATATTTAATAATAAAATCAAAACTACTACATTACATACATTACATAAATGATTATAATATATTTGTAATATCCCAATGAATTTGCTTATTTATTCGCTAAAGGAGTGGCTTACATTGAGTCACGAAACGTTAGAAAATTTAATTTTTCTATTCATTGGGATATCACAAATATATGATTATTATTATTATTATTTATAACAATTATCCTAATGCTCAATTTATTCGAAATTATCAAATCAAGCCTTGGTAATGATTATAACAATGATTTATTTCTAAACGTTATAAATTAAGAAAGAAAGTGATAGAATATCAAGGTTTAATAATGTGAACTAAAATACAACTGATGAATAGTAGAACAGAATATTTCACCTATTAAGTAGTATACTTAAATGATTTCATTAAATTGATAATAACTTACTATATTACACTTTAACACATAAACGTTTATACACTATGAATCAGAATAAGAACATTAAGGTATTTCATTTGTAAATAAATTTGTTCAATTTAAATATTTATAAAATGTGTTATTTATGTTGCCGTTTTTAATTTGTTTAATCCGGTTGGGTTTTTTTGGCAAGACTTTTTCTACCGACGGGGTTGCCGACCCCATACCTAACCCTACTTCTTAATCCAGGCTTGGTACAGACAGTAACTCTAGGAGAGATACAGATGGGAAAGGACAGATCAGCTTCTAGCTGAAGAGGAAATTAGGAAAAGACGTTGGAATTAGAGGGATATGCATTAAGGAAATCATCAAAACACATCACGAGTCAAGCGACAACTACGAATTCTGAGGGTAAACGGAAAAAAGGGAGGCCGAAGAAATTGGAAGCAGACATGGAAAGGATAGCCCAGGACAGGTTTTTCACAGTGGTCTAGCTTCAATTGACTCATGATCTCAACTACTGAGTTTACTAAAGTCTCCACAAAAAACCCCTTCTGATACTAATTAAAATCTTATTCTTATTCTATTTATATTATAGATTTTATAATTTTTGTAATTCTTAATTCCTCAATCATCAAACAGTTTTTATTCACTATTGAATGTCTTTTATGTATCATGAATATTAAGTTCGAGTAAAACATACTACAATATGCTCTATGCTCATATAAATTGTTCTTTCAAAACTGATAACATTACATATCATTGCGTTATTTCTTTATGGGAAAAATAAACGATGACAATTGTTTATTTTTCTATAAATTTCCTAATACCTTAGTTAAGTGTTTTATAAGTTAAATCAAATACCTTCAGATTTTATTTAAGTTCCAAGCGTTTTACAACAGTGACGTGTGGGGAAAAGCCATCTTCATCAGAGTTATATAAAACTATTACGATACATTAGTATCATGAGTTCCTTATATGAGTTATATTAACACCTATCGTTTGATTAAGAAATAAATAGTGGTTTGTATACCTGGGCGGTATTCTAGCCCTCATACAAAGTGAATGACGAAGGATGGTGCATAAGTATTTGGTGCCGCCTTATACAAATATTTATGTGATTAAATAAAACACAATGATCACGTAATACATAAAATCTAATAACACTTTATTAGCGAGCTATAAATAATCATGAGAAGATACAAGTAGGTAAAATCAGGTGAATTTAAAGCCTCACTCCATTGCACAAGCAAGTGACTATCAGGACTCAGTAGCTAAATGGATAACGCAATAGCGTTTAAAGCGAACGGTACTGGGTTCGAGTCTCGGTTTGAACACCAACTCTGAGATGCAGGTACATCCAGCTGACGAGTCCCAAATATGACGAAACGCGAGTCCTGAATTCCACTGTTAGTCACTATCCATCTTTGCTCATAATGATTGTGACTTAAGGAAATATCAAGGCAGTCTACACAGAGTGCACATATTTCAATAAGAGACTGATCATTTGCAGTCCTAAATAACAAAAGGTAGATACAAGTAAAAGAACTCCAAGTGAATTTATTCTATAATGTTATTTGAAGAAAATAATTAAGTAAATGAATTCAACGAAATTTATTTCATCTTTTTAAAAATGACTAAAATTTCAAACACAATCGATGAAATGAAACTCTTGTTTAAGAAAATAGGCTTGATCAATTGAACATTTGTCTTTTACTAAATTAATGAAGTACATACACTCAAGTATTATAAATAAAAATTGTCTTACTTAATCTTATGTATATCAGATCATAATTAATGTGAACTACTTCCATTTTTCCTTTTTTTTGATATTTTTTTTCATACTTCATCATGGCCAATAAACTCATCAAAGAGATTATGTTAATCCCTCTTTTTTTGTTTTATTTATCATTTGAATGGAACCCATTTTATGTTCATAAAAAGAGAATAGATTATGAATCAGATCACATTATATTATGTCGATCATTTAAATAGAACTAAATTTATTATTCTAATATAAGATCAATTCTATTTCATAATTCATTATTGGACAATAAAATACATTTAATAAAGAAAATAGAATATTTAGTTTATATAAAATAATACTTAGGAAATACAAAGATGGTGTGTAAATGAGGTCAGTGTTATTGAACTGTAAATAATAAAATTTTCAAAAAAACATATAGTTCCTATAGTTTTATAACATTAGAAACCAGTTCTGTTTACTGTTTATAATTTTCTTTTTGGAAAATTGAAATTGTTTTTTTTTTACCATTTCTGTAAGACGTTACCCCACATATAGAAATAGATAACAATGAATAAACTTTTCATACAAGTTAATCCATGATAGACTTAATTTTTGCCTTAAATGAAGCATATGATTAAGTAGAATAGAAAATTAACTAATAATTACTGTTCCCATATGATAAAGAAATTTTGGAAAAAAAAGTTGATATATAATGGTTCCCACTTAAGATGTTTAATGATTATTACTTCCTTTGTAATCATTTTTAGTAATACTACCTTACTTATACCATTGGGTAACTTGTATCTCACTGAAACTTCTGTTTATTTTACTCCAGGTCATGTGTAAATAATAATGGTATATTTGATCCAGAGTACCCTACGTTTTCTTACGTATTTTATTTAATAATGAATCCTGAAAGAATTTATTGTGAAATATGCGAAACAGATAAATGTTTGAAAAAACCTCAGCTTGTCTGTCCCTCGTTCAAGAGAGTTGAGATTTCAGATGAATTTGGTAGAATTGTTGTGACGGACGATTTTCGAAATCTGTTAGTGATACACGGTGTGATACGCAATAACCATCCAACTGATTATTTGAACGAGAAAGTGCATTGGACTACCGAACAAAATCCACAAATATTGATTCATATATACCACTTTATTCTTAGGAAATCGAACAATTTCCTATCCAATGAAATGCATTTGTTATTGAGGTCAATTGTAATTGCCATCGACTGACCTTCGCATTAGGCCATTTCTGATTGGCTCTTCATGTCGAGAATGCAGACAGTACTGAAATGAAGCATCGTTGCTACTCAACTGGTTTCACTAGATAACACAAAATGTTTATTACACCATACAAAGGTAGATCATTACCCTTCCGACGTGACAAGTATAGAGGAAGGATTTCTACTAAGTTATATGAACATGTTTCTAGGATTCTATATCTGGAAGGAGGGTAAAGTTTTTACGATTATAGTTGTCAAGCTACTTTTGAGTAGTGGACATGAAGGGAATATAAGTAATGCATTCACAATAATCAAAAGACAAAAAATACTAATTTTATTAATTTTGCAGGCGGAAGGAAAGTGTTATTAGCCTCTCTCTGCCAAAGTCACCGACTATTTATCAAATAATCTCTATTTGTGTTTTGCAACCCCCTTCTCTTCGCAATTTTTAGTATTTTATCTCTTGCATAATTGTATTGGTGTTCGCATATAAATATGATCTAATTGGAAGATTGCACAACCAATAACGTCTTTTATCTTAATTTTGATTAATAGTAACTATAGCACATACATTACATCTTTATTGTCTAACACATAAATATAAATTGTTCTTATTAATGGTTCAATTCATGAGTTTATTGAAGCTAGATCATCATGGAAAAACTGGAAGCAGAAGACATCCGTTTCGTCCTATTGTGGGACTCCTCAGCAGTGCGCATCCATGACTCCGCCCCGAAGCATTCGAACCAAGGATTTATCGGTCTCTCGCGAACGCTTAACCTCTAAACCACTGAGCCGTCATCCAACGGTGTTAATGTCTAACTTCAATCAATCCACGATGATTTTAACTACATTTATTTATAAACTTTACTTCTAATTATCATCATCACTTTGATTTCAAACACTTATCCAAAGCACGTAAGGTAACTTCCATATAACACCTAAACTTGGTGAAACCCTGAGCAGCGTTACTGAAGTTATAAACAAAAACTTCTGGAATTCTCACATTAAAATATATTTTTTAAATTTTACATCTTTGGTTGAAGTTTAAATAAATGTCTTTATGGCTATTTATTGATTAAAAGAAGTTATCTATTGAAATCTGATTAACGTTTTATCTTGTAAAATTGGTGTTTTAGAACCACCAGAATATCGCAAGCAGTAATTTTCTCAGCAAAACGTATCAATAAAGGGCATATTCATTTTTGAACAACCCATTTCATATTTTCTTTTCTTTTAAAAGAATAACTATGAATTTGAAAAGAGTATATTACCTTTTTTTTGTACTTTGTTTCATTTTAGCCTTCCACATTTGAATCATCATGCAACGGATGCAGCTATCTATATTTATATGTACAGTATATATGTTGAAACACCTGTATCAAATATGACAGAAAATATCAGTGCATGGTTAACTGTAGCACTTGCTATTGAACGTTATGTCAGTATGAAACATTGGTCTTTATCAAAACGATATTTTACACGTAAAAGTACACGTCAATTAATTGCTTCGATATGTATAATAGCATTTATTTTTAATATACCATATTTTGCAATTCAACGAGTATCATTAAAATATGTTGATGGTGTATTACAATTACATAGTGATTTAACTAGTTTTTCACGTTCAACATATTATGCATTTTATTCTTGGTTACGTATTGTATTTGTTCAAATTATTCCATTATGTTTCTTATGTGTTTCAAATTGTTTATTATTTATACTTGTATCACATCATAATCGTCGATTTACCAATAATAAAATGAAGAATAATACTAATAGTAAAGAAAATAAATTATCTAGAAATATGTTTAGCAAATCAAAAACACATAAACAACAAATTCAAGTCGATGATGCATCACAAGATAGTTGTACAGATGCTATAAATTATTTCGGTGAACAAAAATTAATTAATGAATCTAATTTACAGTCAATTGAAAGAAATGAACTTGCTATTCCAGTAAAATTGAATAACAAAAATGAAGTTGAGTTGACTTCCAGAAAAAATACTCACGATAATAATAATAATAGTAATGATAATAACAATAGTAGTATTAAAATCAAAAGAGCAACATTGAAAGATCGTTCTAAACAACGAAGGCAAAATGCCCAAACAAAATTAACTATCTTGTTAATAGCTGTGATTTTATTATTTTTAATTGGTCAAGTACCTCAAGCATTAGCTTATGTTCGAGTATTCACTACACTTGGTGTATGCTCTATTGATCAAATACAAACATGTGTAACTTATCATTTATATAGAATGATAACAATTAACTTAGCTCAATTTGCATTCGCATCAACATTTTTTCTTTATTTATTTCTTAATAGAGATTTTCGAGAAACACTTAGGTATACTTATTGTCGTCTGTGTCAAAAATGTTGTAAAATTTCTGAAACTAATCAAAGATTATTAAGAGAAACAAAGTACCTTAGCGAACCACCTTCTAATCTCCAAAAATAACTATATATATATATATATATATATATATATATATACCTTTTTTCCAGTTTAACTGAAAAACTTGGAATTTCTTAGATATATATACTGCCTAATTTTGTTTGTTACTGTCATTTCAATTATTCATAAATGTTGTTTGAATACAATGATTGTGTTTTGCTGTCCTGTTTGAGTCAGGCAAAAGTTGAGTCAGAATAAATTTGTCCAAACATGTTGACCTTTTAATAGACTACAGTAACCACTTAACTTCCTAATCAAGATTCCATTGTTTCTTATCTCATACATCTTCACTAAAAAATTTATTGCATGTATAATGATCTTAATCACATGTAGAAATAATCCTACTTTTATGGGATCAACAGAATCTGATACGTGTTTTTAAAATACCATACAATTCGTAATTTGAATTTTACAACCACGTTACTGTCCTTCTAAAATCTGTGAAGATCCGGCACTGAACACTTCATTCCTTCTACACATCTTTATTGATTTATGTCACATCATTTTCATTAGTAACCAAATTCATAAGTTGCAATTTAAGTGCACAGTAGCAAAATAGATTGTCCCTAACTAGAATCATTTTCTTCATTTCACAATAATATTTTTGTCTGAATAACTGTGAGCATATTTTTTGAATGATCACATAATAATGTTGTTATATCCCGAAGACAATTATGAATGGTAACTCTGAAGAACTATTTATGGATAAATACGATACATATGCTTTTATTGTATAATTATTCAGTAACTGAAATATGCATATTCATGTTTCTCTTATCGTCAGTTTTATTTTAACTCATAGACTATTATTATACGATTTACCGTTCTTGAGTTATGCCCAGTCTATCAATTATAGTCTCCCACATCCACAGCCACTTTTGGATAGATCTTGTACAAATGTTGTTTTCTATTTTGTGGTATGATATAGTCTCTCTGGTTTATCTATAAACCTAATATGTTTGAAATACATGATTCATATAGCAGAGGCTGAGATTGATGTTCTGGACTTAACAGGAAGGGTTGGGAAGGAAGCAGGACCGATAAGGACTCTAGATTGCTCGTACGGGTTTTATGCGTCATTGGTCCGGTCGACAAATCACTGTTCTCTAATCGGCGGTATCATTACGTTATACAATAATAGGGCACAAGGCCATTTACTTACTTACGCCTGTTACTCCCAATGGTGCATAGGCCACCGACCAACATTCTCTAACCTACTCTGCCCTCGTACAAGGCCACAAGTTATAACAAATGTCTGCAAAATGATAGGTAACGACTTATTTAAACAATTTTATGCTTTCCTGCTTTTTCCTGAAATTTGATTAATAGTTCTGATTCTATCATTTAATTATATAAACAAATGAGGGGTTTCTGTTATCGTATTCAAGGCACAAAGTATCAATATGTCTTTTTAAAAAATTTTGTTTTACCAACCGTTTCTACCAACTTTGCTTTTTACTGTTTTTTCATTAGAAATTATCACTGATGGGCATGTCAAACTCTCAGTAGTAACTTTATCGGTTAAATGGTTTGATGATAAGGGTAATAACGTTAAATCGAAAAATGTCAGTAGAATGAATTTTACCATTTTCAACTATAAAAAATACAAATTTAAATTATTGATTTGCCAGTCTAATCGATAAATATCCTGGAATAAAGCATTCATAAACCAAACTAATAACAGTACCATAATCTGACAGCTAAGTACATTTATCAATATTGTCAAATAATTTACATCCTCCTACTGAGGATTATTCGGAATTCCACACACATACTGATGATACTTTCACTAGTCATTCAATACTTTATGGTCTTTTTCTCTAATTTTTTTAACGAATTGGTGCTCAAATACTTTATTTTAAATGCATCCGACTTAAATACATAAAGCGTTATAAACATTATTTGACACCTGATTTTAAAACACTGATAGTGAGCGTGTGCAATACATACAATTTGTGTAGATACACTAGCACTCGATAGGATTTATCCCAAATTAACGAGGCTGTAGGTTTCGTAATAGCTGAGATTACACGGAATGTCTACTTTTCAGCTGTAACAAGTAGAGTACTTTGGTTTAACCGCATAGTGCAATTATAAAACATTACCTTAAATTTCCGAGTACGGTATGTTTTGGTAATTTTACAATCCATGAACAATTGATATTTGTACATTGTTTAGTACCACACTTTCCCCTATTTTTCTATATCGTCCACAAAGAGTCATATTTGACTGTATATAAGTCATCTTCAAACTGCTTATAAAGATAATTACTCATATATTCATGCAACATACAGTAAAGTAATCAGTTTTTTATATTTCAATTACTGACCATCACATAGTAGACAGTATTTCTGTAGATCACTAAGAAAACTAACATAATAAGTCACGTTTCTAAAACTCACAGTAATGTTCAGTTTATATATTTTCAAAGATTTCTGTATTTAACTAACCCTGTTAATTAAATCACTTCATCATAACTTGATGAAGTGATAATGTGTAATCCTTCCCACTTTACATCATTCAAATGGATGATTCTATCTTTGATTTCATCAATCAAGGTTTGATTAGTTCGGTTAGTTCAAAAATCCCTACACTTAATTGTATCAAAAAAATATGTATTCTCTATTACTCAGAAATAATCCTTTTTAATACTTTGGCAGAATTATAGTATCCTTTTATGATGTGATAATTGTTATATATATTTAGTCCATGTGTAATTCGCCGTGTACAACTATTTCTATCTCATAGATAAGTAAAGCAATTAACTTAACAGCAAGTAAAACATTATATTTGTTCTCTGCTACTATTATCTCTTATATACCACTCCAATTATCACATGTCTTAAACTGATTCAGTTTTGCTTTCGTGCTCTTCTAACATAATTTTTATATTATCCATAACTAGAGCTGAAGAGATTTTACTAATCATGTGTTTTATCCATTAATGTACTTAACTACATTTTAAACGTTTGTTTAGTTTTCATATTTTATTATCACTTTTGGTAAACTGTAATAAATAATCAATATATCATGGATACATGAAATTTATAAGCCTTACATAAATGTGACGTACTTTGACTGGAACTTTTGTTGTTACTGTTATGTTTCGTTATTGCTTGAATGCTATTACTGATGCGTCTTACTCGAACGAACGAAGGATCAATGATTCAGCGACTCGATAGCTACTCTGGTTCGTTGTCCCCAACTCTGCTAACTCGATCAAGAAGTCTGGGTAAGGTGTAGAAAGTGTATTCTACAGACAAACAGCAGATAACAAGTCAAGTCAAACACACAAATCAAGCGTATTTATACAATTATTTACAATCGATATTGTCATAGAAAATTTTTTTGAACATTAATCAACGAGTTCATTTATTGACCTATTTGCGCATTTAGTCGATAGTTCATCAATTGACCCCAATAAAAATATCTAACATTTAATCAATAAGATGATCGATAAGATAAATTTTAAAATATGAGCTTGGGGATCTATCGTCCCCAACAGTTACTAAATTAAATGGAATAGATAAATATTTTGAAGACAAAATCGATATATCAGAGAGTAATCATTCTACTAAGAAAGTTATATCTAGTACTTACAAACCAGTACTTCTCAACTGACTTATCCAAGACGATGATAACAACAGTTATTTTTAGATGGTCAATTCACTCAAAAATCATCTACACTACAATGATAGTTCCTAGGAGTCAAAGTGAGTTAATCATCTCATTAAGCTTGTATATGAAAAGTAGATAATCTAGACAACTTCAATGTAAAGAATATGGAACAAAATGTTTAAATCACATTTCTGAATACCTAGAAAGCATAAGAGTGTATGAATAAATATATGACAACACTATGCTCAAAAGAAGCAAGACACATTCACAAAGTTCAAAACTTTTCAGAAGGAAGTTGCATCCTGTGGAGAAAGGAATGACGACAGAAATCGCTTATATAACGGGAGACTAAAATATCTGAACAAACAAAACATGGTCCATTCAGCTTCACCTTGAGAAATAACATTTATTAAATAGATAGAAACGTATTTAACATCAGCCCATTTTCACTTCGAGCATTGTAGCCGTCAACAACAAAGTACACCCAACTATTTAAATAACAAGAACATACTGAATTTTTTTCAACGTCATAACCCGTGAGCCAATTTAAAAATGTAAATATGATTAAATTAAACAGTAGCCTAGTTTCATCAATAGCCTAACCTATTGTTAGCTTGTGGATGCAATCTATATGAGACCATAGATTTACATTTCCCCCTAGTTCTCATTCACCAATAAGCCTTATCTACGGTACTGAAAAAAGGTCTATTTTCTACGGTTTTCGAATGTATGTTACTCAGTAATACATCAAGAGACACTAACACTGAACATACTGGATCATAATCAGCAGTCAGTTAGGCCGAGAAGCTTACATCGATTTGTCGCTGAAAATTAAAGTGTTTCATTTTTTTAGCGTGTCAGTGAATGAAGCAATCTACAACCGTTTTGGTGATATTGATTGCTTTTCACGTTTCACTTATTATGTAATCGTTTTCATTGTTATCATTGACTTATAAACTACCTTGATTGGTTTAATAATTTCGTATATGCATATAAATATTACTGTATATTAGAGTAAGGCCTGATGAGAATCTAATCGAAAACAATATTGTTCGCTTATATATGTTGTTCTAAAGATATTGATTGCCTCAGGATTTCGGATTGAACTTACCAACAAATGGTAAGTAACACAAAACTTATGTATAAGCTTTCTACCAATTCCCTCCAAACACAGTACACACCATATCTTTAAATAAAACCTCTTAGACAATGTGTCCAGAAATACAGATTAATGTAAGTCAAATTACTTGAAGCTCAAAACTTACATCATATCGTAATACAACTAGTAATATATATTTCATTTATAAAGTGAAATCATTTTATTGGAAACTGATAAAATTAACAAAGGAACAAAGTCATATTGTTTTGCTAACATCTATATAAAAC